CCTGAGTAAGTACATCTTGAGCATGTTTTACTGTGCCTGGGGGAATGCATGGCCCTTTTTCAAGGGGGAGAGAGTGCTTGTTGCCTCACCATACAAAGGAAAATATTTTTAGTCGGTGATATGGCAAAAGAGAGGCTGTCATAGTTTTTTGTCCTTTAACTAGCAGCTGTTTTCCCTTGTAGGTCTGAGATGCAGTAGATGGTGCTGAAGCAACACTGAGGCTCCTGAAATATCCACAGTCCAGTGTGTGTATAAAAAGTGTCTGCTGGGTCTCCCAAAGGTTGACGGTCCTGTGTCTTCAAGAGATGCACTCTGGGACAAGAAAACACTGACTGTTAGTTTTAAAAATGTTAATAAATAACTCTTTTCTTTTTATTTTTTTTTCTTTTTTTGTTCTTTATTGCATGTGAAGGTAGGCAGATCAGGTAGTGCAAATACCAACCAAGTAGTGTTTCAGGTGGTTTCAGCTCTGTGTGCAGATAGTGGTGAAATTTAGGCTCTTGAACGTCAGGTCTTTGACAGCTGTTACTCGGTGCTGCCAAAATCAATGCTGAAAGACAGGTGTAAGTTTGGGAGCTCTAGGAATACATGTTCCAGCACACAGCCGCAGTGCTTGTGTTTCCTGTCTGTCCAGGCACTCGCTGGGAGAAGCATGCAGGCAGGACATGTTTCAAGGTGTGACTAAGAAGTTGTATCAAGGTTTGTAGTGTCAAAATACTGCGCTGTCAGCAAGCCTTACTAGCTAGTAGTGATAAGAGCTACCATTGATTGTTCTGCTAAAGGTCTTCTCGAGAATGCAGGCTGATAGCTGTGGTCAGGATGCCAACAAATGACACAGTGGCATCATTTCTCAGTTCATAGAAGCACTTGTCTTTTTGAACTGTAGTGGCAAGTATCTGATAAGTGGTAGATACTTTACATCCCATACTGAAAGTAAATAAGTGCCTTTTTTACATTGGAGCCATTAATTTATTACTACGACTTGTGTTTGGTAGTTTGCATGAGGACAGGATCACTAGGACTTAATCACTGACCCATATCTAACAAAGAATGCTTAGCTGTCTTTGAAGATGAAATCACAGGCCAAAAAAAATCTCTGTTCTTTCCTCAGCATTTGGTTTTGTCAATAGCCAAGATTCCTGTCTGCTGCTTCTGAAAATTCTGCTAGTAGCATGATGGACTTGGTGTGATATGGTAGTGTCACTTTCTGGGGCTGTGAATAGCAACAGGGAACTGGACTGGCTCTCTGAACCAAAGTTATTTTCACTGTTTTTAAGTGTAGAGAGTGGTTGAATGGGTAAGTGCACTTCTTGGGTTTCATCCCCACCAATTGGAGGATCTTAAGCTTTAGAAATGCTTTAATGTTTCACAATTCTTTGCCTTCATTTAAGAGAGCCCTCCCACTGCCTATAAAAGCTGCCTATAAGTGGCTTTTTTCAGATCATTTATGTATGTGTGAACATAAATAGACGCCCACACCTTTTACATGGGAAGTGAAAACTATGGGAAAAAAAAATTACACAGTTATCTTGGGTGACTTTGTACACATCCCTCTATGTAAGGGATCTGAGCCTGAGAGCAATGGGAGATTGCTTTCCCTTGTTCTGTTGTGCTGCTTTTTTTCCAGTATACAATGATTATAGCCTACAGGATTCAGGATCCTTATGTAAGCAGAGAACAGACTATCCACAGCAAGTACCTTCTGAATTGGTTTCATAAATGAATACTGTGTTTTTAACTTGGGAAAGAAAAAAAAAAAGGGGATGTATGAAATTACCCCAAGTTGATATTAACTTCTCTAGCTTATATGAGAAGAAAAAGCAAAATTTCCCTGTTAGCTTGTTTAGAAAACTCATGAACAAAAGCAGCATTTGAAAGCTGCCTTACTAGCAGTTATTTTCTAACTTTTTTCCTACTTTTTACTACTGTGAGCAGTATCTAAAGACTAATGTAAGGTGACTAGTTTGATAACACTTCAGCTGGACCCTTACAGATTCACTGAAATCCTGTAGCAGTCGAAACTAAGAGCTCATGATAGTTGTAGGCTGCTATCTATTTTGACTGAAACCTACCACATGGCAGTTTAGAGATTATTTTAAACGTTAGATGTTCTAGTAGAATTATGTTATTTTACCAGTTTCTTAAAAAAAGTATACTCAAAATCTAATCTAATTTTGACAGTTACAATGCAGATTTTAGAATTTATTTTTCTAGATTTTTAAATGTTTATTTGTTTTGAGAATACGTGTTCTTATGCACTGCATTCTGAAGAAAATTGTTGGTTTATTAGATTCTGTTGTAACTTCAGTCTGAATTCTCACAGCCTCGTGCTGCCATGAAATGAATCTCACTTTGTCTTTCTGTTGGGACCCAGATCTCATTGGATGTTTCTTTCTCATTTAGATACTTGATGAGGTTACTTTCAGTTTTTTGGGGTGATATAAATAATTGAGGATTTTAGGCCTTGCATTATGAGGCAGGTGTTTCAGCCTTAAGTCTTTGAACATGTTTATTTATACATTTATTTGAATGTTCAATATCTTCAAGGCTCAACACTTCAGTCTGTGCATAATGCAGTATCCAGAAGTAATCCATTTATATGTCACTTTGACTTCTAACTTCTTTTCAAGAATTACACTCACACTCTCTTCTGAAGTAAATATTTATTTTAGTGACTTTTGGTTACTGCTTTCTGGTGGCAGTAACATGAATTGTGTTTTTAGGTAGGTGATATGTTTGTATTTTAAGTGTTCAGATGCATATTTTTCAAAACAGTATACTCTGCAAGGTTAGTCTGTGTAATGGATCTGTTCTCGTCACTTACCAAACTTAGTGTTTGTGTTGCTTTTGGTAAGAGAGGAATTTTTTTTTATTATTTGTTTTATGTTAGCTTCTAAAAATACTGACAGGGTGAGCTTTGTGTTTACCCTGAAAGAAATACCCCTTTGGATGTTGATTCCACATTTACAATAACTTAAGATCAGTTAATTGTTCTTAATCCACAATAAAATCAACACAAAAATAACATTAACCAAAATTAGTAAGGATGATGCATGGAGCTAGGCCAAGTGCCTTATGGGCATATCTGTCACAATTGCTTTTATTGCTTGTATTCATGGTTTCTTCTGGTTGGAGACTTTGGCTGATACTTGTTTATTCACACTTATTGTCTGTTGATTTTCCTTCATGCTGTCACTATTCACATTTTAATTTTTTCTTTTGCCTTTGCTTGCTAGGAAAGATAAAAGTGTATTAGAAAGAGATAATGCTTAGAGAAAGTGCAGGAAAATGTTCCCTGTATTCTGAGTGGAGTCGCAACCCTACACTCAGCTAAGTCTTTTAAGTACTTTTGTCAAACTCAATACCCGTTTTATTTATCCTTTCAAGAAGAGGGATGAGTATTATATCACCTTTAAAGGAAAGTCATTCTTTTGCTTTGAATTTTTATGTATCCTTCAGATGGGATACGAAGACTAATAGTGATTTGAAAAATCTGACTATAAGGAACCTGTGCTAAAATAACTATTTTCAATACTAGGAACACTTCATTGCCACACGTTATAAGAAAACAAAGTGGTGAAGTAAAGCATTTGGGAAAAAAACCCCACCATGTTAGTGACTTACGATTTTTAGATGTAAAAATGGTATTTTAAATTTTATGTGTGCATGTTTTAGTCCATTTGCTTTTTGCATGTCAGAGTAAGCTTTAAGAAGCTGATGCCCTAAAACTTGAAATGGGTTTAAATTAGGTATTTATGCTTCTAAAAGGCATTTGACATACTCAACTCGATGAGCACAAAATTTGATTACTTTCTCTATGAGCGGCACACTGTCTCCTGCTCTGAAAAATAAAACCCACACAACTTTAATATTGCAGTGTGTCAGATTGACTTTGCATTGCTGTGTGTGAAAAAGAGCAGAGACAATACTCTCTTCTTATTCCACATCTGAAGCATAATTGGAGGTATATTTAACTTGTTTAACTGTAGATGTTTAGTCATAAAACTTTTCTGCATTTGAAATGGAAATAACATCATCATTTAATTCCTTTGTCATGTTACCTCATCCTTCGTGATTTAAGTTTTCAGCTGTCTGATATGTTCTGTGCCTACTTGCTAAGTTAACTTTGAGTAATTTATCTTAGTTGGTACAATGTTGGTGAGATACTTTAATTTACATGAGAAGTGAAAAGGTTTATTTATCAGGTACTGCAGATCTGCTGCTGTAAACTTTCTAAGCTCTTTTTTTCTGCTCATTGGAGTTGCTTGGGTATTTTAGTGATGATGCTTTGGAAATAGCTTAGGTAAATTGACACAGCATTTAGCATTTAGATTAGACAGCTTTAAGTGTATATAAAACTGTCTGGTGTGAAGACTGGGTGGATTGTTTATTATGTGAAATAGCATCCAAACCTTTCTTCTGTGGTTATGTATAAGAAACCAATAAGTGTTGAGTCAAATACAGTAGCCCAGTCTGCTGTACTAGAAGACTAAAGCATCCTGAGTGGTGGTGGTGGTGGTGGTGTGTGGCTGCATGTCATAAATTGTGCAGAGCTGAGGGGAAGTGACAAAATAAATATATATTTAAAAAAGTGGGGGTGACTTGGGAAAATTAAACTATAATTGTCTGGTGACTCAATGTACTTCTTAGTGCTTCATTTCCCTGTGCTGACTAAGGTGGGTGAGTTGCTGGGAGTATACTGGAATGGAATTTCAGTATTGTATTAAAGAAGAAAAGAAAATAGAAAAGAAGTGGAAGCTTTTGTTTGAGTTTAAGAACTGAAGGGTCCAGTATTGGTCTGCAAACGTCTGAACTATATTTTAAAGGTTTCAGTTCCTGTTTTGCTTGTTTAATGTAATTAGTTTGTATCTAGATGTGTCATCTTATTGCCAAGATACTCGCTTTGGGAAAGAAGTTGTCTTGATGGGAAAGGGTGAATGCAATCTCTACGTTCAGTAATTCACGTATGAAAGAAGGAGCCTCTGCAATCATTAACTGCACTGGTTTGCATCATATTCTGCCATATATATAGGGTGTTTTGGTTTGTTTTTCTGCAGTGCTTTTTTACATGTATGTGATCTTTCTTTTTGCTTTCAGGTCTTGAATATAAACTTACATAAGTTCTAAAAATGGGAAGGATTTTTCTGGATCATATTGGTGGCACTCGCCTGTTCTCCTGTGCAAACTGTGACACAATTCTGACCAATCGTTCTGAGCTCATCTCCACTCGTTTTACAGGGGCCACAGGAAGAGCCTTTCTTTTTAATAAGGTTGGTAAGAAGCTGAGGAGGAACTACTACTTGCTGTTGAAAAATGAGTTTGTGGGATATGAATCTGTCATCAAAACTAAAAAACTTCTTGGCTAAAGTGTTGTGTAATTGCTATTTTTTTTTTTTAATTTTTATTTTGTTCCATTCAGCTGTCTTTGAAGTCAAATTAGGCATTTACTATTGATGGCAAGCTATCTAAATTAGTTTATCTGCAATACTAAAAGACTATAAAGAGGATTGTATATATAGAGGCATCATGCCAAAGTGCATGGGGTTTTAACTTTGGAGACTTCTGTAATATAAACCTCAAATTCACTGTGAGAGGATCTTTTGTCTGCCAAAGAATTTCAAAGGCATTTGCACTTTTACTTGGTTAAAAAATAGTGTAGATAGTATTCAGTTTAATTTCTAAAATGCATTTGAGCTAACAGTAGTTTGACGACTTTAGGTAGCCACAGTCTCTTTTACAGGCAATAATACTCTGGTTTAGTTTGGGTTTGGGTTTTTTTTCAAATTTCATTTAATTCAACAGATTGAATTATGAAAGTGATAACTCTGAGTGAACTGTGGCATTATTTATTAACCCTTCCAAATAGACTTGTCCATTAGACTCATTGGAAAAACAGTGATCGTCCTTTGCTTTCTCACAGAATTCCTGGCCATGTAATTATTGGTGTGTTTTGGTTTGGTTTTTTTCTTGAAAGCCATTTGGCCATTGTCAGAGTTGACAGAGGCATCAGTAATATCTTCAGTTAACTGTGCTTGGCCTTGGGATTTCTGGTATGCTGAATCCTGTCAGTAGTAGTTATATGTAAGTGTAAGGCCACATAGCTATAAAAAAGCTGTGTATCTGATTTCTTTCTCATCCAATAAGCACTGGATCATGGGGTTCAAATTATTCTTGTGTTAAATAGTGGGGTTTAATCACAGAAGTTTGATTTTTGCATTTCTGCAGTCAGAAACTTTACATTTGAAGCAGAGAGAGCAAGCACAGTCAGGTGGAAAGCTGAGAAAGCAGCGCAGCCCCATTTTTTAAAATCCTACGCATATTAGCAGTTTGAATATAGTTCTGACATCAACTTTTCAACTAATTATACATCCTGGTTCTGTGGTGTTGCTGCCTAAACAAGTTAAAAGTATATTTTAAGCTGCTGAGATAGCACACAAAAAAAGTGCATGTGTAATGCCTACATTCTCAGCCACTGAGCCTTGCTTTTTGGTAGGTGATTTGTTTCAAAAGCACCCAAGGTTTTTTAAAGAAGTACCTTTTTAATATTTTGGTTCTCATTTCTGGGAATAAGTGATCACATCAATTGCTAGAAATGGGTTACTTGTATTACCAGTGGCTTAATATAAATTAGTTTACAAGCT